TATTTATTATTAGTACATAATATATTACATAAATTAATAAAAATATAAAAACCGTATAAAAACAACTTTTTGAAGACAGTAAAATTATAGTTTAAAAAACATAAAATACAATAAATAAAATTTAAATAATGAATAAAATATAAAAAAGAGACCCATTTGATGTTTTAGAAGAKGATTGAGTTTTATTTTGAGATTATATTGTTAAAACATAAGTCCGTTCCACCTTGGAACTTGCCTGTTCCTTGGGGTAGGGGTGGACACTTCGTTCCATATAAAATATGTGTCAAACATGGAACAAAGATCACTGTTCTATCATATTATGTCCAATATACCAAACACAACCTTAAACTCATTAAACTGTTAACAAAGAGACCCTTAGTTACATACTTACATTTATCATGTCATAAAAAAAAAAAAAAAAATACAAATGGGTGTGAAGTGTCAAATTTTGAAACCTTGGGGGCTTTAATAAGCAACTCCAGATGTGATGAGCATTTTCTACTAGAAGCGATCTTTCATCGTCTCTCTCCCGCGCAAGCTAGGGTTTTGGCGAACCCTTTCTGATCTACACCATTCGCGTAAGTTGAGGTATTCCATTTTTTCTAATCATACAATTTTTCATTCATTTCGTTTGAATCTTAACTTCAGTTCATGTAGCTCTTCATCGTAACTTTCAAGGGAATTTTTGACCCAATTTAGTAGCAGCAAACGAATTTTATTCATGTTTTCTGCAATCAATGATGTGTGGGGGTTCAAATGCGCACAGAGAAACTAAAATATGGATGATGTATTGAAGAATGACAACTTATTATGTTTTTTTCTCTAAAATGTCAACAGATCATACACACTGATTGGACTCGGCCATGCCTCGGTGAGATTTTCTATTTTATTACTCTTTTTCTTCCAACTATTGGATATGATAATTATGGCCGTCATGATTGTTGTGATCTGAACTCCCYCGATTTGGTTGAATTTTGCAGGTATTACTGTGATTACTGTGACACTTACTTGACGCATGATTCCGTAATTCATCCGTCATCCACTTCTACATTGTTTAATTGTTATTGTTGTCATTAATTCTCAACGAAATAAATTAAGGATTACTATGATTTCATGAGTGGGGTGGGGTTTCCTTCTCTTTTGGCTATCCGTGGGTTTTTGGCCAGCTTACTCGGTCCGACCAATACCCCGGGCGACCACAAGTGGCCTGTAGTTATCATAAGTGAACTTCTATGGCCTAAAGGGCTTTGGCGGTGCCTGGATTCGAACCCGGGAAAGATGAAATTTCCACTACATCCTCCGATGTGTGAAGGGTAGAGCTCAAAGGAACTTATATAAGAGCATAACTTGCTAATTAGTGTGATCCGTGCTCAAATTTAATTAGATTGTTTATTTCTATTAAAAAGGAATTCTAGTATGTCGATAGGTTTAGTGTATGGACTTTGATRAAATTCATCAACGTGATGCTTGTCTCCCACTATCATGCAATGCTTCCTTGGGTGCGTTTACTATGCCCGATGGAACATGACAACAAAAACTTGTTATCCCACATTTGGTACGRCATTTATTCCGGGAAAGAACAAGACTGAATGGAATGAAAATGCATTTCAGGGAGATGGGACAAGATTGATAAGTTAATAAACCACCAATGTCAAATTAAAACCCTAAAATCTTGAACAATTCTTTCACCCGCCTATCTCAGTCTCGCCCGTCCAGTCCCTTCCTGTCCGGTCTGTGTACCAACACTCATTATAATTAGAGAACAAATAGATCAACTCTTATCACTGATTTGAGATATTGTTTGCACGATGGAAATTCCTTTATTACTCACTATATTTGATGGTTAATTTAGTATGTTATTCCTCAAGTGAGTGTGACAAGGAGTGTGTATTCATCATCTAGCATGTTATTTAACAATGTATCCTCTCGTTCTCCAGCCTTCTGTAAGAAAGCAGCATAATGCCGGTTACAAACACAAGGTACTATCTCATGTAAACATACACCAATTTTTTTTGGGAGCATATAATATTTATATAAGGGGCAAATTATCACACACACACACACACACTCCTCACCTATAGTGAGGTTTGAACCCTTGACCTCCTCGGAGGCTAGGATTTACTGGTAAACCGGATACCGCTGGGCCAATGACCCTTTAGTAACATTCAACAAATTTTGTTAGATTAGATATCTCACGTGCATATATCCTGTACAGGCCAATGTTCGCATCTACTATCAGCAATATGAGGCACAACAAAATCAGTATTTGATTGACCAAAAGGTTAAGGAGCATCTTGGACAAGCTGCTGCGTTTCAGCAAGTTGGTGCTGCTTACAACCAACTAAGGCCCCGTCTTCCAATGATGCCAATGCCTGGGAATCCGCAGTTGGCAATGAACCCAGCGTTATTTGGAATGAGGCCCCCTGTCTCTTTGCCCAGACCTATTCCTGGTACTATAGCTACTTAGGCGTCTTTTATATTGTTATGTTTAAATATTGGCAAAATAGACAAGCATGTCATCGTACTTCCACACGTTTTTAGTTACATGCTTGAGCAAAAAGATTTATGAGATACATACTTATATTCTCACAACATATCAATTACATTATTTTCATTCGGTATTAATTAAGTTTACTAACATAAATGGTCAGTTTGGGAGAA